GCTCCACACTTCCAAATTGGTGCGGCAAGCTGAAACCTGATCCCGCCTTCGCAAAGCATGGCATAGGCCGATGATGCTGTGTACTTGCCTGTCGAGTTCCACTCCCAAACCAGCATGTCTTCCTCTCCTAGTTGCAGCTCAACTTGCATGACCGCTTCACATAACCTCATAAATTGCATCAGCCCGTCCATGTCCAGCATTCCCACGATATCCTCCATCCAAGCATGAAGGTGAAGCCCCTCCTTGACAGATCTGCGGTTGATCACGCGCGTCTTGACCTTGGCAACAAGCGTGGGCACCACATCCTGCACCGCCAATCCTCCCATCCATCTATCTTTCCAAAAGAGGGCCTTCGACCCATCTCCAATATTCCATTTGACAAGGCTACCGAACGCAGAAACCACTTGCTTATCCACCAGGTCGCTCAATCCCTGCCAAGGCCTATAATTTTCAGTTCGGTTTAACCATTCCCACCTCATCCTCAGAGCTATCCCCTGCTTTTGCAGGTCAATTACTCCCAGCCCGCTGAAGCACTTAGGTCTGCAAACCCTCTGCCAGGACACAACGCACTTGCCGCCAATAATATGATCTGAGCCGGCCCAAAAGAAAGCTCTGCAGCCCTTGTCCACCTTCTCCAATGCCCATTTGGGAGCTTGAGCCACAATCATGTGATGTGTAGGTCTTGCCCTCATCACCTAGTTAACTAGGATCAGCCTTTCGGGCTGGGTCACCATCCCTCTCTGCCATCCCGGCAGGATTCTCAATGCAGAGTCAATCATTGGCTGCCAATCCGAACGTTTGAGCTGTTTGATGCTGAGCTGTAAACCTAAGTATCTACATGGGAACTTCCCGATCTGCCAGGGCACCATGCCTCGGACCAACTCCTCATCCCCTTCTTCCCCTCTGATAATAATGGCAAACGACTTAGCGTAGTTCACCTTAAGCCCTAATGCCTCTTCGAAGATCTTGAGAATCTCTAGAACAAATGACAAATCCGCATAGTTTGGCTTGACGAATAAGACCACATCATCGGTGTACAGGGACAGTCTTTGCGTGGCTCCGCAACCATTCATTTTACTCAGTATCTGGGATTCATGTGCCTTGATGATGATGGCTGTAAGAACATCCATCGCGATGACGAACAACAAAGGCGACAGGGACTCCCCTTGCCTCAGACCGCAAGCATGCCTGAACTTCTCCCCAGCGCATCCATTGACCAACACGCGGGAGCTGGCCGTGGAAAGAAGTGTAAAGACCGAAGATAGCCACCGCTTGGAGAATCCCTTTGCCCGTAGCACCTCAAAGAGAAACGGCCACGATAGGGAGTCGAAGGCCTTCGAAATGTCTAACTTGGAGCAGCACGCATTTAGCTTTCCTCTTATGCAGCCGCCGCGCCAATTGCCTGACCAGCAGAAAGTTGTCATGTATGCTGCGTCCTTTGATGAACGCCGACTGATTAGCGTTGACAAGCTCAGGCATTCGCTTGCAAAGTCTGGATGCCAACAGTTTCGACGCCATTTTGGGTATGTTATGTACCAAGCAGATCGGCCTGAAGTCCTTGACAGTGCATGCTGCCGCTGTTTTTGGAATGAGTGAGATGAGCGCCTGGTTGAGCCTCCCGAAGCCGCGTCCATTATCCAGAAACAATTTGTGCAGGGCGGCAAGGATATCACGCTTGATCACATTCCATGCTTTTTGAAAGAAGACACCAATAAATCCATCTGGCCCCGTCCCAAATTCCGTCCTCCTGAAACACCAAGTCTTGCTCTGAGAGATCCAGCAGTTGGATGTTTAGAAAGTCAAGATCAACCGTGTGCTCTCGAGCCGAGTCCTTCCCCATAATCTCCCTGAAGGTTTCAAGGAAGGCCTCCTCCTTCCCCTTTTGATCAGTGATTGTCTGTCCGTTGCTTGAGTTATGAGGGTACCTAGCATGCGAAGATGCCATGCAGCGTTTAGTATCATTAATCCAACATCATATTCTAATCTCCATTGACGACGCACAACTGCACAAGCCAACGACTGCACATGGCGCCGATGACAGCCTTCTTGCTCCCTAATCACGATCTCAGACACCAAGATCGAAAAAAGTCACCCCCTTAACCCCATAGCAAGAGGCTAATCAAGCAATGATTCGTGAAACTTCATGGGTCCCAAAAGCAAAACAATTAGGCTTGATCCGCACAAAAGACAGAAAGGAAAGGAAAGGAAAGGAAAAAGAGAGGAGGAAAAGCAAAAAACAAAGGACGGAGAACTTGCCATGCACTGCAACTCCAATCCCCCCCTCGGCCTGCTGGCCGGCCCTCCCCCCGGAACACTCTAGAAACAGCCCCACGGGCCCTTAAGAGGCCGTTTAACCGCACGCAGCTCAATCCAATCCAATCAGTCCGTTGCTTGGATCCATCCATCCCCTCCCCACCAAATACCGTCGATCTCTATTCACCTCTCCCAAAGTCTTCGTCTGGTCTTCTCCACCTCGACGCAGACATGGCCGCCGCCGCCGCGTCGGAT